AAAAGAAGTATTGTTCTAGTTAGTGTTAACTGTCAACTTGGCACAGCCTAGAGTGATCGCCCCAAAAAAAGTCTTAACTGAGTAATTAGCTTTATAGAGTTGGTCTGTGGACATGCTCATGAGAGATTGTTTTCATTATCTTAACGGATACAGGAGAGAGCTCAGCCCGCTGTGGGTGGTACCATTCCCTGGGCAGGTGGTCCTGGGTGGTATATGGAAGGTGTCTGAACATGAGCTGGAACATTTTTTCCTCCATGGTTCCTACCTCCAGGTTCCTGCCCTGCGGCCCTGCCCTGTGACGGACTGTGACCTAGATACATAAGCCAAATAAACCGTTTCTTCCCGAAGCTGATTTTGGCCAGAGCGCTATCACAGCAGCAGAAAGAAACTAGGATGAGCATGTCTAAGACGAAGTTAGAACGAGACCAAAGGGAAATGGGCTATTAAGTTTCTTTCTAAGTTCCTTTTCAAATAGAGCCAATTTACCTTTTCTTTGAAATAAGTCTTGTGTTTAAATTGTTTTATATAGCATATATTTAAGCACATTTAATAAGCAGTACCAAAGTTCAAGAACAAGTTTGCAAATCCATCTGTTTTTCTTCAGTGCTGGGACGGAATCCAGGACCTTACATATGCAGAGAAAGCACTCTACCAACCCACAAAGCAACAACCCACCAGGAACAACAAAAAACCCTTTCAATCATACAATTGAAGGGACAAAAATAAAACACTTATTCTAGTGGACTATAGAGCACACATTTCAAAACAGTGCACATTTGCGATCAGCTGCTTCTAACTGGTCATTTTCTTTCTTTCTTTAATAACATGATTCTTTGGGAATTTCACGTCATGCATCCCAATCCTGCTCACCTTCCCATCCCTCCATATTAGCCCCTCATCACTGTAGCTTTCAAAAAGGAACCCCCTCCCAAATTAATTAGAAACAAAACAAAGCAAGAAAGCAAGCAAGCAAGCAAGCAAACAAACAAAAACCCCATCTCTGTTCCTCCGTCCCCTCAACACCTCTTCATTCTTGTAGTGGTATTGAGAGTTAAGGTGTGTCCTTCATTGTACTCTTTTGTCCAATTAGCCCACCTGCCCGTCACTGCAATGAGTTACTGGTCTGGTTCAAGGCCTCTGGCACACAATCATCATTGAACCCTCAGGGAAACTCCTGCGAGATACCCTACTGTTGCCCCAAGTCCTGGGGATCCCGAGGCTGTGGTTTCGCAGGCCCCATTTCTTCACCTCTCCAGCAGATCGTAGAAGGGTAGAGGGCTGTGAGGGTGGAAAACCCAAGGCCCAGAAGATGAGCCTGGCTGGTCTAGTTGGTAGTTTTCAAAGTAAAAAATTTGCTCAACCAATTTAACTGTATGACCCGAGCTGTGCTAACCTCACATAGCCAGGGTGCAGTGTCCCTTACTGGAAGTTCCTGATTGAATCCCAAAAGCTCACTCTAACGATTCAGACTGTTTAACACCAGTGTTTGAAACCTTAAGGATTTTACAACTTATCTGTGTAGTTCTTTGGTTTTCGTATCTGTACTTGTCTTGCAATCCTCCAGTAAGAATTAGAATCAACCAGCACTCAAGAGGCAGAGGTGTGTGTTTGAGGCCCCCTGGTCTACAGAGCGAGTTCCAGGACAGACTCCAAAGCTACAGAGAAACCCTGTCTTTAAAAAAAAAAAAAAGAAAAGAAAAGAATTGGAATCAATCCTGCCAACAAACAGCAGCCATAATCATTACAGTCAACATCTGTATTTATTAACAGCTATCCAGAAACCTTCAAAACAAAGAAAAAAAACCAATGTATTGAGGTGTAATTAACACAGCATAGAATTAACTCCCCAGGGGAAGCATCTTTCATTCTACAGTCCAAGCTGACCTTGAACTTGAAATCTTCCCAACTCAGCCTTCTCTGTGTGAGAATTACAGGCCTGTGCCAGCATGCCCAGTTTATTTTTCTTTAAAAATGTATTTTGAAGGGCAGGCATGGTGGCTCATGCCTTCAGTCCCAGGACTCTAGAGGAAGAGGCAGGTGGCTCTCTGAGTTTAAGGCCAGCCTGATCTACTTAAGGAGATCTAGGACAGTGAGGGTTACACACAGACCTTGTCTCTAAATAAATAAATAAAATATTAGCAAGCAATTTACTTGATGAACCTTGATGAATGTAATTAATATTTAAGTAAATTATTAGAGCCACAGGTACCTAGACATTGCTTTTGCTATAAAATATTGACTCATCATTTGGGCTCCCAAGGCAATAAAGACCCAGAATCACTACCTCCATTTGTATCTGTCTCCCTTACTCTCTGGATATGTCATCACATGTATTATAAGTCAACATCAACTACGCTAATTATTAAAGAACTGCTTGTTTAAAAACCAAGGTTAGCTAACCTATTTCCAACAGTTCAGAGAGAAGAGAAACGGAGGCATCTTGTCATAGCTTTCATGATGTCCTATTCTGGATCCCACAAGGATGCCTGACTGTCTCCAAACAATGTTTTAAATCTGTAGTTATCTTGGATTCCAGGAATAGCAGCACCTCAAAGACAGACTGTCCCCTCAGCAGTGGGAGCTTCTGCCTGCCACGTAGAAGCAGAGCTCAGATAACGGCCAACCAGACCACAGAGATAAGGACCAAGCAGGTGACATGCTGACCAAGCTAAAGCCATATCAGTGCCATGATGAAGGACTTGTGGTCACTGACCCTCCCAGCACAGCCACATTGCTTAACCCTTCCCTGCCTGTCACCACTATGCATCTCTGTAATTGGTGCGGTGCGGCAGACAGCTAAGCCTAGTCGACTGGGGTTCTCAGAGTTCTTGCCCTAAAACTCCAGAGACATCACCACGGTGATTTTGATTGCATCCCTCCAGCAGCTAATAATGCTGAGCATGTCTCTTGGTGCTTATGCTCACCTCTGAAGTAGCCTTCCTCTGTCTGTGCAGAAATCCATTGTGAGTTCTGCCTCCTTACTGTGAGAGTAAAAACTCCAATTCCCACTCTCCTGTAGCTAGAACACTCTCTGCCAATCAGACAGATGAATGTGGTCGTCTCTAGAAGAAGCTGTTTAGGGTCCCAGTGGTGGTAAGGTCTAATCTTGGCTCACAACTGGCATCAAAACATCACTAGGGGTATTTGTCTCAGTGTTCAGGGATGCAACAGCAGTATCCTTCTTCCTCCCTCCCTCCCTCCCTTCCTCCTTCCCTCTTTCCTTCCGTCCCTCTCTCTCTCCCTCCCTCCCTCTCTTTCTCTCTTATTATTATTATTATTTTTTTTTTGAGACAGAGTTTCTCTGTGTAGTCCTGGCTGTCCTGGAACTTGCTCTGTAGACCAGGCTGGCCTCAGATTTAGAGATTCACCTGCCTCTGCCTTCTGAGTCCTGGAATTAAAGGCATGTGCCACATACCCGGCTAACAGCAGTTTCTTAATGAAAATAGTATGAAGCCTTATAGAACCAGCCTCAAGTCAAATTATATAGCACTATCCAAACTTATTGCTATTGCTGTTATTATCATCAGGGTCTCCATCTCTCTCCCAAGGGCTGCGATTACAGGCTCGCATGATCATGCCTAGCAGCAATTCTTTGTGCCGCTCCATATCTACTTAATAAGACCCCTTTGTGTTATATCATTTTTTTGAAAGAAGGGATGGGTTCATTCTGTTTAAATCAAGATTGTAATTCTAGAATATGTGTCAAGTATTTTAGAGAAATTCTTCACAGGAATCTCCCCCAAACAATAATAAAGTACAGTGAACAGTTAGCTAACCAATTCAAATTTAATGATAACATAATAAAAATCTGTCAATAATACTGCTTTTCTCTCTGAGCACCATTTTAACTTGAAAACCAAACTGACAATCTATGATAATTCTTGCTTCAACACTGGTCAATATTTTCTCAACAATGATCTTGTTATGGCAAGCACAATGACTGATAATGTTTGTTGCCAATGACAAGCGTGAGCTTTCAGAAAATGTATTTTGAAAACCTTTTGTTAGCTACTTGGTGAGTTTGACACCGTACCAATCAATACGTAATAGGTGGCAGTGTTAATGAATGGGATTTTAAAATTTTATCAAATGAAATATGGCAGTGTATAGAAGGCCTGCATAAATCAACGAAACAATATTTTCCAGGAGACCTATGCAAGGTGACTGGAGATGTGGTTCAGCAGTTAAGAGCAATAGCTGCTTAGCAGGAGGACCTGGGTTCTATTCCTGTCCTCCACGTGGTGGGGGCTCCTATCTTTAACTCCAGTTCCAGGGTACCCAACGCCCTCTTCTGGTTTTCTGGGAACTGCATGCACGTGGTGCACAAATATGCATGAAGACAAAACACCTATACACATAAAAAATACATATAAAAAGGTTTTAAAAGACCAACACAAATTTAAGAATATTAAAATCATGTATACCCTCTAAATTATAAAAGAGCCATTCACGTGCAGGATGAACCAATGCATTTTAGCCCAACGAGGCTTGAAAGCTTGCTGATAGGGTTTTCTAATTGACTTAATAATTTACTTTGAGAAGCTATCATTTAGTCGGGAGGTGTCTCTTTAATCTGACTGCCCCAGCCACCACCAGCGAGCGACTAGCTAGTTGGAGCACAGACCAAGTCGACTGTCCAGCAGGGAGCGCCAAGATCCCTCCTAGACACTCGGACTCCGCCTCCCGCCTTCAAAGGCCCGCCCCCAGCATCTTGCTCCACGCCAGGGCTCCGCCTCCCGCGCGCCAAGCCCCGCCCCTAGTCTCTTGCTCCACACCGGAGCTCCGCCTCCCGCGCTCCAAGCCCCGCCCTCAATCTTTTGCTCCACACCCAGGCTCGGCTCTCCGTGTACCAAGCTCCTCCCCTCGCGCTCACCGGTCCCACAGTTGCACGCGGTGGGCGGGATTCCTCACAGGCTATAGGCGGGAAGTCGGTGGCTCCAGGCAACGGTGTTAACCGGGCTCAGAGGCGGAGTCGCATTCAGGAGCGTCCACACGTGACGCGGGCTCCTCACACACCGAGTCCGGAGTCTACCCGAGGGAAGCCCAGGGCGGCCTTGGAGAGGAGCAAGCGGACCCGCGGAGGTTCTCCCTCAGCCTCAGGAAGGACTCCGAGATGCGCGGAGCGGAACCCCTCTCCAGACTTTAGAGTCGCCCCCCTCCCCGACCGGGACCGTTACCGGTCGCCGCCTGAAGGAGCGGCTCTGTGATTGTCGCTAGAGTGGCCTGGGCATCGTTTGTCTAGGGCACGTTGACTTGTGGCCCTGGAAGGTAGTGCTCTGGGCCCCTGGGTTGTCCGTGGGGCACATGGCACATCACTTTTCTGTAGCGATTGTGCCAGGGACATGGGCATGGGCGGGAACTAATTCCCACGGGCAGTGCCAGCAACGTGCCGAAAGCACCAAGCACCAAGGCGAAGCCACCAGGCTGCTGCTGCTGCCTGATTTCAGGCTTCCCAGTTTTGTGCTAAATCGCAGTAGGCTTTCTTTAGTCGGGGCCATGCAAAGAGTGAAGACCGTAGATTTAAGCAGCTCCCAAATACTAACGGTGGTGTGAAATATATTTGGTTCTCGCCTCCAAGGGTTCATTAAGATAACTTAATATGCCTTTGAGATGACAAGAGTTGAACAAGACTTACCAGTTTCTTCAGATTCGCCTCCCACCATTGTAATTTTTTGCTCCCGTATAATCCCGTTCACATTTTACTCTCTGTATTATTTTTCAGTCACTTACCAATTTCATTTCTCCCTACTCAGGTTCTTTGCTTATTTCCTTCCCAGCGTTGCAGCTGGATCAGTATAGCTCCAGAACCTGCTGTCAGCTCCACCCTCTTCAGTACTCAACACGACTATTAATCCTTAGAGGATAGGCTGCTGAACAAGGTGACTAGATACCTGTCAGGCAAGCTTGTTAAAAGATATCATTCCTTGGGTTTCCAGTCAACTTATTCACGAAAACTCATAAGATATTTCTCATTTGAGCTTTAAAGTCTGAGTTGTAGCTTATAAATATCTTAAAGGGCATTCGTTTTTCCTGAAAAAAAAAAATCTTTATTGCATTTGGAAATCAATAGCCTAAAGGTAATTAAAGTATTTTTAGTAATTTTATGCAAAAAGGTTCATGCATGTGAAAAATTTCATTGATTGCATCATAGTGGTGTTCCAGAAGTTTAGGAGCATTTCAGATTTTCAAGATTGCTAACAAACCTTGTTAGTTTTCTAATTTTTGTTTTCTTTTGAGGCTTTTAGTTGGTTTCCTTCCTCCTACTTCCAGGCCCTGGAGGAGGTGTCTCAAATCCCAAGGCACAAGTAATTCTGCCTCAACTATCCCATATGCTTGAATTACAGGATTCTAGCATCATACTGTCTACCTATATTTTGGATTTAGAGTTTGACATGGACATGGGATAAGAATTTGGGGGGGGTGCCAAAATTATATATATATATATATATATATATATTTATACACATGAATTTATAAGTCTGGGGGTAGAGTGTTATGGATTGAATTAGGTTCCTTTCAAACACAGATTAGTATGATGGCATATATCTATAATCCTAGCACTTGGGGGGTAGAGGTAGGAAAATCATAAATTCAAGGCTATTCTTGGCTACACACACACACATACACATATGCACACACACTATATATATATATGTGTGTGTGTGTGTGTATGTATGTATGTATGTATATAGTGAGTTTCAGGCCAGGCTAGGCTACATGAAACTTGGTCTCAAAAAACAAACGAATGGACTGTAGAGATGGCTCAGCAGTTAAGAACACTGTTCTTGACCAGGTTCAATTCCTAGCATCCACATGGCAGCTCACAACTGTCTGTTACTCCAGTTCTAGGGAACCCAACACCCTCACAAAGACATACATGTAGGCAAAACACCAATGCACATAAAATAACGAAAATATTTAAACAAATAACAATAAGAAAAAGAAAAAAAATTACTCCCCAATGAGGTCAGATCCAATCTGTGGTACTTTGATATGGTTGCCCTCACAGACTAATATAAACATTGTCAAGAAAGTAAAATGTCTCAGGTGCAGCGGTGTGTTTTGTAATCCCAGAACTCAGGAGGCCAAGGCAAGAAGATCTCAAATTGGGAAATAGCCTGGGTTACATAATGAGTCTATGTGTAAAAACAAATGAGAAGATAATACCAGGGGCTGGAGAGATGGTTCAGTGGTTAAGAGCTCTTGCTATGCTGGGTAGGGTGGTGCACCCTTTAAACTCAGGACTCAGAAGGTAGAGTCAGGCAGAGCTCTGTGAATTCAAGGCCAGACTGGTCTGCAGAGTGAGTTCCAGGAAGGCCAGTGTTTCATAGAGAGACCCTATCTCACCCCCCAAAAATACACCCCCCAAAACTCTTGCTACTCTTGCTAAAGACTCAGGTTTGGTTCTAAACACCACTATAGTGGTTACAACCATCTGTTCAGTTCCAGGGACTCTGATGACCTCTTCTGACCTCTGTGGGCACCAGTTACACCTGTATTATACATGTAGGCAAAACACTCATGCACAGCAAATCTAAAAAAGTTTTTTTTTTAAAAGACGACAATATAGATTGGGAAAACAATTTGCAAACTATGACTCTTATGATCTACTTTGGATATATGAATAACCCAAAGCCCAACAAGAAAGACAACACCATTTAAAATGAGAAAAGATGCCAGGAAAAGTGTGTAATTCCAGTTACTGGGAGGTTGAGGCAGGAAGATCACAAGTTCAAGGCCTTCCTGAGCTACTGAGACCCTGTCTCAAAATTTAAAAAGGAAAGTGAGTACTGAGGATATAGCTCTGTAGTAGAGCACTTGAAGGGGGAGGGGCTTGGGAACGATTAGGGGAAGGAGATGAAGAGATATTTCTTTATTTACAAATAGCAGTGAGAACATGGGAAATTGGTCACATAGTCATTAAGAAAGTGCAAATCAAAATATTAGTAAGATTCCACATCAAACTTACAAGGATGTCTGAAAGAGAAAGTTTTGGTAAGGGTGGAGTTGGTTCTCTACTGTTGGAAATGCAAAATTATTTTAAGTGGTTTTACAAAGCCTCTTTGTAGAACTATGGAATAGTCCTTTAAAAATTCAGTTATCACACAACACAGAAATTCCATTCCTGGGTATATAGCAAAGAATATAAAACATATGTCCACTCCAAATTTGGTACATGAGTTATTTCTGGGGAAATATGTCAGTTGTAGGGCACTTGCCTAGCACACAAGAGGCCATGGGTTCAAGCCTCAGGAACAAAAGGAAAAAACTAAAACAAATTAGTATGCGCGGTCAGTGGTAATATACTCCTTTAGTCCCAGAATTTGGGAGGAAGAAGCAGGTAGATCTCAGTGAAGTTCGATGCCAGACTGGTACACAGAGGTAGTTCTAGGACAACCAGGTCTACACAGAGAAACCCTTTATGAAAAAAATAAAATACAAACAAAAAACCAAATTGGTATGGGCTAGAAAGATGGCTCAGTGTTTAAGAATTTCTGCTCTTCCAAAGGTCCTGAGTTACCACCACCCACATAGCAGCTCATAATTATTTGATCCTCTCTTCTGGCATGCAGATGTACAATGTACAAACAGACAAAAACACCCATATACATAAAATACATAAATCTTTAAAAACAAATTGGTACATGAGTATTATAATAGCATTATTTGTTACTGATAAATAGAAATTCATAGCAAAAAAATGAAAAACTCTAGTGTTCAGCTCCTAAGAATTACCCTTACGAATTCGTGCTGTCTAAACAGCTTTTTGTTGGCTTGTGCCATCTTACTAACTAGAAATTGGAAGCTGTCAGGAATGGGGACGTGGCTACTTTGGCTGTATTCCAGATACAAGTCAAATTTAAATCAGTTCTGTATATCTCCCATTCAAAGACCCAGAATAAAACAGCAATTATTGCAAGGTTTGGTTTCTTCATGGTAGAAAAGAAAATACACTAGAGACCACATCAGAAAAATTCAGATGGTCTCCCTACGTTGTGCCAGGAGACAAGCAGTCTGCCTCTGAGCTGATTTCCCAGGCCCCACTTAGGGAAGGCCTAAGTATGTGTGCTATCTGCCCTACATACTCATGTTTCATTAACTGAAGGAACTCATGTGGCCAAGCAAACTGTGTGGAGATCCCATGGACCAGAGAGAGAAGTACAAAGGAAAGAAGAAAGGCATGATCTGTACTGTTCACAAAACTTCCTAAAATTTACACCTCTAATGCATATGTGTTTTGATAAAAACTTAGTATGTGGATCAGCAAAGTGGCTTAGCCAATAAAGGTCCTTGTCACCAAGCCAGTTCGTCTGAGTTTGATTCCCAGAACCCACACATGGAAGCAGAGAATGGATTTCTTCAAGTTGTTTTCTGACCTCCACATAAACACTTTGGTACACACACACACACACACACACACACACACACACACACACACAATTTTAAAAACTTTTAAAATATGTGGTCACTTTTTGCCTGAGGACAAATTGGAAAGGCAATCCTTTTTTTTTTATTTATTTATTTTTTAGTATTCTTTACACATTTATTTATTTATTTATTTTTAAATATTTATTTATTTATTATGTAAATAATATTCTGTCTGTATGTATGCCTGCAGGCCCGAAGAGGGCACCAGACCTCACTACAGATGGTTGTGAGCCACCATGGGAATTGAACTCAGGACCTTTGGAAGAGCCAGCAATGCTCTTAACACTGAGCCATCTCTCCAGTCCTGGAAATGCAATCTTTATTCTAGACAGTCACTTATTCAATTAAAATGAAGGACATCTAGCTTGGTGTGACAGCCTACTCCTGTATAAGGCACAAGGATCATGAATTTGAATCTGGCCTGATCTGAAGTGATACCCAGTCCCCAAATGAATTAAGAAAGTCTTTTACTGAAGTTTAACTGCGATTTGTTAGTGGGAAAGAAACTATCAACTTCTACCAAACTCTCTTAAAATTTACTAAAATGTAAACCTTAGTAGGTACATTTATTCAGATGCCTCTAAAACAAGTGAAATAAAAGATTCAATTGAGGATCTACAGTCAATATAGCGGTAGAGGGAAAGGAGAAGAAGGGGAGGACTTAAGCAAGAGCAGTTTCCGCTTTTAAATGTCATTAGAGCATCAGAAGAACAGTCAAGAGAATGGAAGTAGGTTTATTTTTTAAAGAGGTTGAGCTCTCTCTCTCTCTCTCTCTCTCTCTCTCTCTCTCTCTCTCCCCTAGGCAGGATTTTTCTCTCTGTGTAACAGCCCTGACTGTCTTTGAACTCACTTTGTATGCAAGGCTACCCTCAAAGGCATAGAGATAAAGGCATGTACCACCACACTCAGCAAGTTCTTTCTCTAAACTATTGAAAATTAGATTTATAAGTCAGAAATCTCTAAGAAAAAACATATAAAAAAACAAGTTTGTCTTAGATACATTGGAGTCAGGCTGGGAACATAAAAGAACAAAGAGTGGAACTTAAAATGAGTTGCACCGAGTTCCTAGGACTACCATACCCAAATGCCATTGACTGGAAGTTTATTGTCTCAGGTTCTAGGCCTGAGGATGTAGTTCAGTGGTGGAGCACAAATATGCTTAGCATTCATGAAGGTCTGAGTTCAATAGCCAGCATCTGCTCTCCCAGAAAGTTCTTAGGGTGTTTACAGGATTATTCTAAACCTGTATTGGGTTTACAATAGGAATATCAAAAACCTGTATTGGGGTTCCTTTGCGTTTAACTGGCTCTGATTAACTGCAAATCTTTGGTCTTTGACTTGCATTTGTAACCCCCAAGTATCTCCTTCCCTCATCACTTCTGTCTGTCTGTCTCTGTATGTTGGCTTGTTTGTTTTGAAACAGGGTCATATTATTTTTTTTAGACTGGCCTTTATTAAGCCCCTGAGATCAGCTAATTCTCCTCCTTCAGTGTTTCAAGGAGCTGGGACTACAGGTGTATGCCATGTGTCCAGCTTTTTCTGTTTTTATGGAACACCTGTCATGGCCTGAGATATGGCTCAGTGGTAAGGCGTTTGCATCACATGTTTAGTTCAACATAGCAACAAAATAACTGAATAAATGAAAGATCACATATGCCAGCTCACATGTAATTCCAGCGACTGGGAGACTGGTACAGAAAGATTTGCCAAGAGTTTGATTCTAGCCTGAGATACACGGTAAAGTGAGGCCAGCCTGGCCTATAGGGAAGATGGCCTTAAATTCTAGATTCTCCTGCTTCTGGCCTCTTAAGTGCTGTGATTATAAATGTGCATATGTGGCTAGTATCACCCCATCTTAACTAATTATGTCAACAATAACCCCACAGATGTTCCTCCATATATGATGGGGTAAATTACCCTGTAGGCCCATTTTAAATTGAAAATATCTTAATCTTGTGTTTTCTTCTGTGACTCAGATTGCCTGCATGATTTTTCTACCAACCAGTATGAAAAAGAAAATGCTAGAATTCTTAATTTTGGTAAGTAGAAAAGTAATTTCTTTAAGGATAACATTTAGATATTTACTAATATCTACCCATATGATATTTACTTCTCTACCCCTGAGAGTAGTATACTCTGAGGACAAGGGAATTCCTACTGACTTCATCATACAACAAAATATGCATATGAATAAATACCTAAACATCTTAATAGACACGGCTGGTTATAGGATAAAGTCTACTTCCCACCAGATTGACATGGCCAGTGTAACAGTGTAACAGAATTCTACAAGTGAGTTATAATGACCAAGGCAAATAGGTCCATGTTCATATAATTGACAGTATACCTTAGGAAGCAGGAAGAGTATCTGATATGGCAGTTTTCTGGGAACTAATAAAAATCATTTGAAATAAGCTAGTTTTGGAAATGGAAGTCTATATATGATGGACTCAGGATCACACAGTCTTCTCTTCTAAGCAACTTCATAGAGGTGAGTAGATCTATTGAAGAAGAGGTACTTCTAATTTAGTTTTGTCCCTCCCTCTGGTTGGTGAGGCCTGCTACTTTAGTAGTGGATGAGGGATGCACTAGTGTGGCTTGAAGGTAAGAGAAAACAAGCTTATAGCATCTAAACAATTTATAAACCACTGGTCAAGTTGGCAAAAAGATGGTCAAACTTTGGAAAGTCAAAATCCCCAAGGCAGACCCTCTGAGAAGTCCTAGTAAGTGTTTTGTTGAGTCTTCTATGCTGTGTCTCTAACCTGCCACCCTCTAAACTGATACCTCAACTGTTCATTCTGAAAAGGAGAGAAAGGGTAACACAGGAGTGATTTCTTTCCCTGGCTGATCAAAGTCTAAGAAGTAGGGCTGCAGAGAAATGCCTCGGCAGGCAGAAGCTGTATATTGATTACATGTTGGCAATAGTACTCATGTAAATGAGAGAGGAATACTTTTATTGCCTAATATCGGTGAGAAAAATGGGAGCTGGAGAGACAACTCAGCATTTAAGAACATGGCTCGTGTAGAGGACCAGGCTTGATTCCCAGACACATGGTGCCTCACAACTGTTCTGTAGCTCCAGTTTCTTTCTTTCTTTCTTTCTTTCTTCCTTCCTTCCTTCCTTCCTTCCTTCCTTCCTTCCTTCCTTCCTTTCTTTCTTTCTTTCTTTGAGATAGGGTTTCTCTGTAGTTTTGGAGCCTGTCCTGGAACTAGCTCTTGTAGACCAGGTTGGCCTTGAACTCATAGAGATCCACCTTCCTCTGCCTCTTGAGTGCTGGGATTAAAGGCAGGTGCCACCACCGCCTGACTTGTAGCTCCAGCTTCAAAGGCTCAGATGCTCACATCTGGTTTCTGAGGATGCCAGGCAAGCAAAAAGGTAGATACAACACATGCAGGCACATGCATCCAAACACACATACAAAATTTAAAAGAAATTCAAATCCAAAAAAAAAAAAAAAAGGAAAATGTCACTAGTTGAGGCAATAGAAAAAAAAATCTTGTCTTCTGACAAAAGTCATGTAAAACAAGTCCAAGCCACTGGGTATAGCTGGAGGTATCCAAATACAGCCCCATCAAAGGTCCATTTCTGGATCCGTACTTGGAGGATATGACGATACCACTGGGAGTACTAGGAGATACTACTGAACTGGCCTCTGGCTTGAATTTAGAGAAAACCTTCACTTGGTTTCCTTGTTAACAGATAAGCCTTTCTTTTGATGTCCTGATGAGTAACATTCCTCTCTCTGATTTTAATGCCCTAAAGTCCCTTCTCACCATACAATTATTGCTACTAACATAGCATGCTCATAGCCATGCCACCCAGACCACAGGGAGAACATCACCCATAAATCATTGCTTCTCTAATATCTATACAGCAGTCTTTTCCTCTGCACTAAGAAAGCTTATGCTGTGTAGAGGCCACTTTCAAAATAGGAAAAGGCATTTCCAGATCTTGTCCTTAGCACAAACACCTTTGGGAAGAGCATGGCAAACATTTCCCCCTTTCTCCTCACAGCTGTTTCCGGGAGCCTTTGCAAATCAATTCAGCATGAAGGGAAAACAAGAAAACCAAAGAAGCGGCTTTAAAAATCGTGACGTCAAGCAGGGTCCAGTGTCTCTCATCTGTAATACGAGCATTTGGGAAGCTGAGGCAGGAGGACTGCTGTGAGTCTGAGACCAGCTTGAGCTACAAGTTTGTTTCAAAAAACAAAACAAAAACGAACAAAGAAAAAGAAGAACCATGATGTCATGGTGTCAGTGGCTCTTGGATGACTCTAGTTTTCTCTACTCTAACTGTATCAACAAACTCAATTTCTTAGAGCAGTCGTGTGGTAAAGTGACCAGCAGAAGCCACAGAAATGGCCACTGTCTGTTATTCAGGAGAGGTTTTGCATGATTTCCTTCATGACTGCATATGCTTTTCTCTTGGATGGTTTTACCTTGCCTGCTTCTTAAAAATGTTCATTGGCATGCAGGTGCATTTTCTGCACTGTCTGTTCTCACCCGGTGCAATTCCTCATCTAATGTCACGGTCTTCTCCATACCCTGATGTCACAGAGTGCTGACACAGGCAGGCTTCATCTACGGAATATACTTTCTTTCACCTCAGTGTCTCTAAGGCTTTATTGGGAAAAGTGTTAGAGAATACAGAAATATTAGCCTGAAAATCTTTCGAATAATCTCCATAAAGAGAATTCTTTTGTCCTAAGTATTAGCAAGGGTACTCCTTTTCCTGCCTATCCCAGCTATCTCATGAAGGGGGTCATAATAATTATTTTTCTTTGTCATTATTAGCCCAGTTCTGTTCTTGTAGACAACAGATATGTATTGTGCTTAAATGTCTTTGGGTAAATGCCTATCCACATGATCACTGGCCATTGTAGGCCCTGTATCTGGGCTGGTCACATCATCCACAGTCACTGAGCTGAGTGAGGCTCTTCTTTAAGGTAGAATATTTAAGGTAGAATAAGGAGGACATATTCTCTTCTTTCTTCTCTCTTGTGGAACTTCATGAAAGGCTTGGCTCTTCTTTCTACTTGTCTGAATAAAGAGCTGGAGGGTTTCTCTGAGCCCCGATAGGATAAGAACCCTGTCCTTGGGCAGTCTACATGGCTCCTGGTCCCTTGGCTGCCCTTAGAGATGTGCCTGCACCTTTATTGCCATGAGTTGGCTTCTGGAACCCCAGAAGCACTGGAAGATGAAGGTCCTTTAGGGAACCCATTCTTTTCTTCTGGTCTGGCTGCTTTTGTTCTTTCTCTCCCTGTCTCTCTTGCATGTAGCCATAGCTGTCTTTGGATTTCTCATCCCGTTGCTACTGTTTCCTGAGCGACAGGATTGCAGGTGTACACCATGCCTGGTTTATGGGACTCAAACCCAGGGCTTTGTGCACGCTCAACAAGCACGCTACCAACTGAGCTGTACCCCAACCTCCATTTTGCTTTCTTTACGAAGCTCCAGTTTTTTAAACTAGCCATACTACATGCTTGGGCGAAGACTTGCAGAATGCATTGGTAAATGCCACTGCAATTTCTTTTTTCTTTTCTTTTGTATCATAAAATTGACTGCTGGCTTGCTTTGGTGAGAGATCAAGTAGTCCAGAAAGGAGGCTGGGTCTGTTGACGTCAGTGGGATACTCTTCTTGGTTCTTAGTCCAAGAAGTACAATTTAGTAGAGCGGAAGTTTCAGTTGCCCAGTGTTCTGAGAAAAAGTACTTTCTTGGGTGGGTGCTGCTGGCAACCCAGATGGGCAAGTGTCTGGGAAAGATGAGCTGGAAGAGCTAGGCTCGCCCTCTGGACAATAGGTAGTGCTGAGGGTAAAAGACTGCAAGTGTTTGGATTTGGGGCAGTGCTCTTGCCCAGCTAATGATGGACTGCACTAAGCTTCTGCTTTTCCATTTGAGATAATCTTCCACTCCTTGCCAAAACCAAAAAACGAAAAACAAAACAAAAACAAAACAGATTATCAGCTAGATGTATGTTGATTCTTTGAATAAATCTTGAAATAGGATCATTTGCGGACTGTTCTAATCATCTATGCTGGGGCCTGAACAGAACCATGGGAATTTGAACCCTGAAGGGCATCTTCTTTCTGTGAATTGGGGAGTAGTTGCATCAGGGTTTGATACATGGGGGTGATCCTAGGAGGACAAATGACTGTTAAGGCACCACTGAAATGACCAGTGGCTTGGACTAAGTGAAAAGCACCATTTGATTTCCTTTATCAGTAGAGAGACCTTTCTCCTCCCTGCTTCATTAGTGACATTTTTCTTGCTGGTGTCAGTGCCTGGGAGTGAGCTCCGGTGGTAACATGTGTTCTCTCCCTTCCTGGCAGCTGGCTCTGCTTCAGATAGTCTTCATAATTTGGGAGAGCACTGCATTCTTTCTGAAAGTTTGCTGGTATATTCCCAGAGAAAGAAAAGCTTTCTATCCACACAGCTGACATTGTGCTCTGAGCAATGTTGCTGTAGCTGCAGCCAGGGACAGATGAGGCCCCGAGATGTGTCTCAATTGAAACCTCTCTGTATGTTACAGAACATTCACTGGCTTGGACTCAGGAGGCTGTTTCATTTGAATGTCTGCATCGTTAGGATGATTGGAGACAGTATTGTTTAGGGGTTAAAAGCCTTCCACGTGGGCTGATTGACACAATAATCCATGAGGGCGGAGGCAGAATCTGTGCTTCTCCCACCCTGGCCTGGGTTCTGTACTAGCTAAGGCATGGGTCGTCAGAACCCACATTTGCCTCGTTTCCCACTAATCACAGGGGAATCATTCATCTGCAAGCAAGATATATGTGAGGTGTTCTTTCTGGGGTCACATCTAACTGAACCCTCTTCTACAAATGAAATGATTTATTCTATAGATAGCCTACAGCGACTTTGGTTAGAAATTATTTGCAAGCAGCAAAAACATATTTTGTGAATTCATTTTCTAGTTCTGAGTTGGAGGAAGTAGGAGGCCAAAGAATGCTTGGAGATCCATACTGCTAAGTTAGACACAGTCATCTGATGGGATGGGAGTGTCGTACAACCTTGTGCAATGCTTTAGATAGGCAAATTGGGTAAATGGGACTGGCTCTTGGAAGTTGGTCTAATATTCTTTGGATTGCAGTAATTTTCTCTTAAACAGAGATCCTCACATATCACACAGTCTTGATGAAAATATTCTTCCTAGAACACTTTGAGGCTCACATTCTCGATGTACTTGAACTCTAGATTTAGTTTCTCCTTTAGCTCTCTGCAGGAATTGACATTGGCCAACAGCTTGCAGATGCCTTTTGTGAGGTGATAAATTTTTTTCTTTTTAAAATTCAACAGCAGAACATATCCAAGATAGGTTTGGTCAGATGTCGTTCTCACAGATATCTGGTAGGGGAAGTACAAAGAGCTGCCTCAACACAGAGGAAGGCAGTGTGGGCAGGGGTTGCTAGGAGCCCAGCGGCAGGGCTCTGCTTCACTGTCTTCTGACCTGCATTTCTCTGTGGCTGGGCTGTCATCTGGTTGGGGTGGGGCTTCAGGTTGGAATACACTGCATCTCTCGGGCAACTCTTCACGAGGAAGAACTCATGGGGAGGGGTTGCAGAGCTCTTCGATTCTTTCTTTCCTCCCCCAAGACAGGGTTTCTCTGTGTAGCCCTGGCTATCCTGGATCTTACTCTGTAGATCAGGTTGACCTCAGATTCACAGAGATCTGCCTGCCTCTGCCCCCGAGTGCTGGGATTATATGTGCGCCACCACTGCCAGGCTGAGCCTTTAATTCTTGTGACAAGGGTGCAATGTCTCGAAATGATTTGTTCAGATTCCTTGGGATAGTTGTTCCCAGTGAGTGGGTATGGTGCTGCAGTTTCCAGAACTGATCGTAACTGGTTGTCATCCTTAATAGTGCTAAGTATTCGAGCCCCAGACTCAAGTTCCGCTTCCCTAGCACTGATAAGGACATGATGTTAACTTAATTTCCTGTGTCTGAATTCGTTACTCTTATAGTTTTGTAATTAAGCCCACTTCTGAGATGGCTGGTGACTATTTTGAGGTGAATGGCCTTTGGGTTGTTCTTCTCTGTCTAGATAGGTTAAGACTGTAGATACCACAAACTAAGATTATTAAAGGTTTCCTGGGGGCAGCAGAACTGTGGGGTGAGGAACTAGGAAGGCTAAGAAAGCCATTTGTCCTTTTATTCTGGAGAACTAAAGGTGGCTCCAAGCTTACAGTTCCGTCCTCTGCCCCCAGTGCCGTGTCATGGCTCTGGTGTCGTCTTCTCCCACTTTAGCTTTAGCTTTTCTTAAAGGTATTGTGGTATTTGGCTTTGGCCACAGGAACCAGATCACTGAATGGGAAAGATATCATCCCTGCCTCTACAGGCCACTGTTGAGTCCTACACAGCTGTCCCTAGTGGGTCACACAGAAAATAGCAGAAATGGCCCTGTGTCAACCCTGGGAGAACTGTCTCAGGCCTCTTCTATTTATCTGCTTTTGCAGGATTTTTCTAGATTTAGAGGGCATTCTTCCTGTTTTCAGCAAATGTTTTCATTTTTCTTCCTCAATTGCTAATGGTCACATCAGGCCAGTGTCCCTGAAAACTTTGAAGCTGACCTGACCAAGGCCTTTTGGGGGATCTACAGGGATGAAGAAAGGTGGTTCCTTAATCCATGTCTCTACTTGGGGCTGAGAGGCCTGGTTAGGGATTCAGTGTCAGCTGAAAATGGCAGGGAGACACAGGGGTCACTCCTAGACAGGTTAAGATGTCGATATCACAAACCAGAGTTGGTGAGAGTTGCCTGGGCTGAGGAGGGCATGTGGGGTATGAAGCAGGGAAGGCAAGAAAGCCCTGTGTGGTTCCCACGGGCATTGACTGGTTAAACAACTAGCACATGAGTGGGGAAAGGATACATACTGGCCTGGAGACTAGGGTGGTGGAAGGCATGAGGTTCCCAATCAGTGTCCTCACTTTTTTTTGGCACTGGCACCTCTCAGGATCCAAAATATTGCTTCCATGAAGAATATCTGCAATAAATCCGAGCCAGGTTGGCAGGTGGAAGCACAAGGCTTCAGAACATAGTTGAATGACATTGATATCCTGGATACTTCTATTCTACCTGCAGGTGATCACAACAGAAACATGAAGGAAACCTTGAAGTGCACTGTATACATGCATGGACACACTCAGCCACCTTCTCTCAAGAGGTTTTCTCAGCCCCTTCTACACTGCAGCCCAGGTCAAACTTTCAACCTTCCGTGGAGAGTGACCAGCTGTGACATTCTGGTTGTGGCCTCTCAGGCTTTCCTGCCACACCTGGTGTCTGCTCACTGCTTTCTTCACCCCATTGGGAGCATCACTGAGTTGGGTCCAGTCCTCGTGTCCTGTCTTCTTTTCTCTTCTTGTCCCTCTGTCCATGCTGATTCAGTCTATACTCAGATCCTCCTAGTTGTTGCCTGGAATACCGCAGTTGCTTCTTACCTGGCTCCCTGAGATTCTCAAAGCATCTCTCTCTCACCATGTTATTTCCAGGCTTAAAATGCTCCCTGGCCCCATGGTGCCCTCATGATGCGGTCTGAGCTCTGCAGCAGATCTGCAGGGCTCCTGAGACTCAGCTACTGTGCTCCCTGGTCCTGTCCACTGTGCTCCCTACTCTGCCTCTGGACTGTGGCTAGATCGCTCCTCCTGGGCCATGGCTCCTCCTCCTGCCCCTCCCAGGTTAGGTGCCCTCTGTTTGTCCACCCAGGGCTCTGCAGACCTCTGTCCAGCAGGGGTGTTCTTCTGCTGTGTCTGTGTCCCTGCAGCTGGTATCTGCATATCCTTGTGGGTTTCCTTTGCTGTGTACACAGCAGTTCCTGGGTGCACTGGGGCTGTAGCTGAAAGATTTGGCAGATGCATTAAGCGCGGGCTGGTATGTTCAGCATGGCTGGCCACTCTCCTGGACTGTTCTTTATTGATCTCCTCTTTCTCCCAAAACCCTGTGCCTGAGTTCACTACTTCTGCTTAGGGTACTAGTGGCCGCTAGGCTTCCAGAAGGAAAACCTTAGTAATCTACATTTCTGCCTCACAGACTGCTGCCACCAAGTGTTGATGTTCCTTTCCTATTATGCCTTTTCCTTTCCTCTTGACTTCATGGTCTGGCTTCACCCTTCACTTGGAAAATTCTCAAGTCTAGGCTTGGGATGTGCTGTAGCCCACACTGGAGTAGGATTGTGCAAACATGCAAAGCGAGGCTGGGTATGACCCAGTGATAGGAAGTTTGCCTGGAGTGCTTGTCAAGGCCTTGGGTTCCATCCCTAATATCACAAATTATTAACAGCAGCAACAACAAAGCCGTGCTGACAATTTTCCTCCTTGACTTTTCCATCTTGTTAGGACTGCACCCTTGGCTGGTTGTTCCTCTTGTGTCCTGCCACCAGCCCAAATTTGACCTTCCCTGACCTTATCCACACTTAAGTGACTAGGCCCCAGGTGCTGATCCCTGCTAGTTTCAGGCTTGGAGTAGCCTTTCCCTGTCTTCACTGAGGATTTGAACTTCATGGCTGCTATCAAGCCGCACGTTCCTGACTAGCCCCAGGAGCACCAAGAGCTCCTCTGCGGTACTGAGGGCTCACCTCACCAACACCGGTCCATTCATCTAGCCCTGTGTGCAAGTGGTATTCTATGGATTTAAGGCAAGAGTGAGCCATCCAGGAAATTTCCTGCTCCTAGACCTCTGCAGTGTTGTGGAGATTAATTCAGCTGACTGTCTTCTTCCCTGAATGAGGAGTGTCTCAACGGTAAGCGGCCCTCACTGCCCACCATGGCTGCCCTCCAGTTAAGTTGACCTGAGACCCTCCAGAACACACCAGCCTTAAGTTTGGGCCTGGGCCCATGGAATGATGGTGTGAGCCCTTCTGTACTGCAGGCTGCTCCCAAATGCCTCAGCCTAGGCTTGGCCCCAGCAGTCAGGGCTCTTACTAGCACGACTGAGTCCTCACAGAAGGCATTACAGATTCCAAGTGCTTCTCTCACCCTGTGTTATGAGTCTGATGCTGGACCTCTCTGCACCCCTGACACTCTAGGGGTAGGGCAAGAGTGTGGCCAACTCCAACTTCTTCTGGACCCTGGAGTTTTCTGCTTCCCGGATAGCCAGCGAGTCCTGGACAGGGTAGGTCCCCAATTCCGGAAGCTCTGCCTTCTACCCTCTCCTCTAACTTCTTACCTGCTCCTCTTTAGTGTTTAAATGAGCTTTCTGGGTCCTTTCCAGCCTCCCCTTGCCTGTCCTGCTTTCTTTCTACCTCAAGCTTCCTTTCTGTCTCTCAGTCCTCAGGCTTCTCCCATGTTCCTTATTCCCCCCTCTCCTCCCAATGTCCTCTCCTCCCATCCCTGCTCCTCCTCCTCTCCTACCCTTCACTTGCTAGCTCTGAGGTGCCCACAGAAAGCTACAGAGCCTCTGCTGTCATATTTTCTGGGACAGGGTACGGTAGGCTGGGCCTGCTCTATCCCTTTTCAGTGACTGGTATCCTGAAAAACCAGAGGCATCTGTAAAGATCCGAGGAACGTATGGAGGAGGCAGGCATGCCCAAAGGATGCACTGACATTCTCTAGCTTAGTTTCTAAACTGAGGACTTTATTAATCAAATGCATATTTCCTCAGAAAGCCCTGAGTGAAAGCAAACCTTTACTATCTCCCTTTTCCCAGTAGGTGAAGATGAAGAAAGGGGAAGTCATTTGTCCCAGGTCATAAATGGGTTGGGCACGAGGGCTGTCTCTCTCTCCTACCCTTTGGGCATCACCCTCAGACCAACTCCTCTTCTGTCCACAGTAAAACAAGCACCTGTCATGCATACTGGACAGTCAAGCCCAAGCTCCAGTGATCCTATGTTGAAGTTATGGACATCTACCAGATCTGACAGACTCCCAGAGAAGAAGGGCGGCCTCAAGGGTCTGTTTGAATAGACATTCCCCAATGCTGTGGTCTTCATGAAGTGCTGGGTAAGCCCTGGATCTCTTCTTCCTGCTTTCACTCAGTGCATTGGGATGGTGGAAAGAGCAGAACATGATACCCTAAATGTGGAAGAGGCAGCCAGAGGGAGAGGATGGGGGCACACACAGTAAAACACTGCTGGTGGGAACCACATGCTGGAATGGGGCTAACGCTGGAGAGCTGGGTGATGGAAGGAGGTCCTTTGGTTTTGGCTGTTTCCTTCCTCTTTTCCTCTATGTTCCCCTTTCCTTTCTTCTGCACTGGGTAGCACCTAGCACCTTCTCCATGCTAGGCTAGGCTCCTGCACAGAGGCACACCCCCAGCCCAGAGGCTCTAGTGGTGCCTGTGGCATCCAGTCCTGAGCAGGAACTGGGACGAAGGAGTACTGGGATCAGGAGGGGAGCTGGTGCAGAGCATGTCACTTGAGCCTTGGGTTCCTTGCCTGGTGCTAGTCCTTAGTTGGCCCTCCAGTGTCTGTCTTGAAGTGTTGAGCTTGGTAGACCCTGGAGAAGAAGAGTGTAGCAGAGGGCAATATCTCTCTGTCACCGCGACTGACCAGGCCACCTAAAAGGAAATACCCATGCCATCTCAAACAGTCTCATTCACAAACTTCACCTGTTCTCTCTTCATCTCACTCCTGGGGAGGTGTTGAGTGGCTAGAACTGGTCCACAGGATGCCCTCCTCTGAGATCAGGGGGCACGGAGCTGCCCTCACATCATCCTTCCAGGGCCTAGACCACGCAGGAGGGGTGCAGAGAGGAGGCCAGGCCAATAAACAACAAGGGCAGGAAGGTATGTGACTGAACTTGACCGTGGAATGTTGGCCATGCCTGACGCCAGGCCTGGGAGGTGTCAGAACCCTTCTTCCGCTTCTGGTAACCCAGGAGCTGTTTTTATCTTAAGCATCTATTTGTTTTTCAGTGCTGCCCCTTGCTCTATTCTTGTTTGTTTGTTCTTATTTGCTTATTTATTTTACAGTGCAGGGGATGGGGCCTATGCACGCCCCCACATGCTCCAGACACTCTCCCACCAGTCAGCTTCCTCCTTTCTGCCTCCTACTCACAAGTTCTCATTCTCATTCATTCCCAGACCACTCAGTGATGTAAAACCTTCTTGTCCCAGCAAGAGCGTGTTCACACAAAGCCTTATGGCACATTCCTGGTAGCCTCAGGCTGGGATGGAATGGTCTCGCCTACAACTTGGCCCAGTGGCTGTCTCTCTCCAAAAGAGGCTGGTGCTGGAATAGAGACCCAGGGACTGACTTCAGATGCTTTAGTTCACACTCTCCTTATGAGCAGAACAGAGTTGGGCCTAGCTTTGGGAGGGGGCAGGATCTGCCGGGCAGAGGGGAGATGGGCCATGTTCTTGTGTGGCTAGGAAAGACAGAGGGAGCAGGGAAGCTGTGGGGAGAGGGGTGCGAGAGGGAACAAGTGAAACCATTGCTCTGAGGTGAGCTGGATCCTCAAAGATCGTGCTCTACAAATCTAGAGTTTAATCAATGTGGGGTGGGTATACATGTGTATGTGTGTGTGTTGTATGTGTATGTGTGCTGAGCCTTGCACATGCTCACACACCACTCGAGCTGTACACAGCCTATCTGTACACAGCCTATTGATCTTTCTAGCATGGTTATCATTAACAGCAGCATACTTCTTATAATGAAAAGCATCAACTTTCCCTAGCCCCAAACCCCAAGACCCCAGAGCAGTGAGTTTAACTGCCTGTTCTGACTTCTACCTTCTGTGTGCTAAGAGCCAGGCTTCTCGGAGTGCCGGCACCTTAGGGAGGCTGAGCTGAACCCAGAAGAGGGAGCATCGGAGGCCAGGGCACCTTAGCAGCCATCCTCCGAATGTCCTCATGTGCTGGGGGCTCAGAGGCAGAAAAATGTAGTGAGGGACATTTGCTAATAGTGAGGGTGTGCATCAGTCATGGGCAGTCCCCTGTCCCCTGTCCTGCTCCCTCCTCCTACCACTGTCTGCTATGGACTCTTAGGAAGGAAACCTGTCCAGGCAAGAAACCTGCCTGTCTCACAGCCAGCCTTCCTCCTCCTCCTTTGTTTGCTCAGTCTGCCTCCCAGGTGCTGGGGAGCTGATGAGAACCTGTCTAGAGCAGAGGCCACTTTGTTTTTCTCTGTCCAAGTGGCTGCCTCCCCCACCCCCCAAGAGTTACTGTTCATGCTGAGGGGCTGTGGTGGTGGTCCTGCAGCGTGTCTGGGCTTGTCCCCAGTGCAGATGGCAGCAAGGTGCAACAGAGGAGGGGATGGAGCCCTTCGGTTCAACTCTGAGGAATATCTGAGAAGAATGTGAGACCAGCAGAGATCACTGTCCTTGGTAGGGAGAGACCAATATCCATCTCTGTACTGGACAAAGCCAGGACAGCATGTTAGCCCATCTAGCCTTCTGCTGTCTTCTGGGCCTGACATTTCTCCCAGGCACATATAATTACATAGCAGTGGATCTGAGCCACCCCACCCCACAGATAACTGTCTCAGCTCATTTGTCAGCCACCTGATACCCCACACCTGTTCCAGGCCCAGTTTGCTAGGTGCCTGTCTGTACAAATAGGGTGCAAGGTAGGCAGCATTCAGAAGGCTAGTCAGTGACGGGCTGACTGCCTTGGACTGTACCTGCAGGGAGAGGCAGTGTTGGGTTCCAGGGACCAGTAGATATGCTATGGGGTAGGTCTCCTGTGGAAGTGAACCCCATTTCCTGAGGTTGTACATTCCAGCTCCAGAGCAGATTCTGGGACAAGTTTGGGATCCTCCACCTCTGTCCAGCTCACTACTTTGATTTCAGTTATATATTCCTTCATAGTAGAAAAAAGAATCTTTTGCCTCTTTCTGCTCCATGACCCTCCACAGTGCTGGGCTAGGGCTGGCTGGCTGGATGTCTTAAACAGGGTCCCAGGATGAAAAGTGATGGGGGTACAGAACTAAGGGGGTGAGTAGGGTTAGGTTCCTCTGCATCAAGGGACCTTGTCTCACTTAGCGCCACCTAGAGGTAAGAGGTGGAACAGCTGCATCCAACCTTTCTTTAAGGTATGTAGTGTGGAGACCATGGTGGTGTCCCCAGAACCTTCTGCTGGGCAGATCATTAAAGCGTGCCGGTTGTGTGAGTAGCTCCTGGGGTACCAAGATGGGAATACTGCCTTTGTGTGTGAATGTAATAACCTCCCCACCCCTCCCACAGGGTCTCCCTGGCATGGTGTACAGAAAGGGCTTAGATGCCACAGCCACTGAAATGGCTTCTTAGTTATATAATAATTCACAGATCCTTGCTGTTATTATATATTGCTTAGCATGAAATTAAAACTAAATTATTTTAAAAAACACCACAAGCCACTCTCATGCCCACAATCCTACTTTTTGGGAGGCTGAAGCAGGAAAACCCATCTGAGCCCAGCCTGAATTACATAACAGAATTCTACCTGAGGAAAAAAAAAAAGAAGAAGAAGAAGATCCCGCAAGGATATAGGTGGGTGTGTGGATGATAATTAAAGATAGCATTGGCCGGAAGCCCGTGGACCAGGTGACTATAGTCTGCGAATCAACACCATTTCAGGCCTGGGCCTCATTCTTTGAAGCCCCCACATTCCAAGGCAGCTACTGTTTTTTGTTTTCTTAAAGTTTTTGCAACAAGGTTTTACTGACCCACAATTCACTACATAGCCTGGGTCAGCCTCAGACCCGTGGCAATTCTATCTTAGCCTCCCGAGTGCTAGGATTATAGATTCCAGTCACCATGCCCTGCCTTCCTCCTAGCATTTTTTAAAAAGGCATGGTCTAGTTTCTGCTCCATGTTTCTAGTCATAGCAGAATCTGAACACGCAAACCATCCTTCAGCTCCTTCCAGGCCAGTCTGACAAATTTGGTCTCCCAGGATTGATCTAAGGCTTAAAGTGGGAGAAAGCCCTGACGCTGGGCCTCATTTATCACAGGAAGAACTCAGGCCATGGCTGGCTCATATCTGCCAGACTCACAGTTGCCCTTTCTGCCTTGCTCCACACTGTCCAGCTGCCCTCCACTATGGAATCAGGATGGAGGCAGAGTGGGGAGACTGAAGCCATCCTGGGTAGGGAGTAGAGGGTACTTAGTACGGGAACTGACAGTCTGTAGGCCCGGATGCTGTTGTAATTGCTTTTTCTTCCTCCTATCGGTTGTATTTAATTAGTGCATGGTATACCGAGCTATTTGCCATTCCACTTCCTCTTGGAAATTCTTTTCCTGAAAACAGTGCTCCTCTGTCCCATGGCTGTTTTCCTCACTCAGCCTGTTCGTGCTCGTCTGCAATGATAAAGGCAGGTCCTTCTCAGCATTTTTGTTGCTATGCAATCTCTGCATTGTACCATAGGGCAATTACCACCTTCACCCCACCCCTGCATCTGCAGAAAGATCTTACTCCGGGGAAACTGCTCCAGAGGAGAGAAAAATGGTGTCTGAGTGTCCCCTGGAGGCCACCGATGATAGAACCGCTTGTGCCTTGTGCTCTTAATCCTGCCATGCAGGTGGATGGATAAGGCCTCACCCGGTCTTTTGTATGTTATTTTCAGGAAGACAGGTAGAATGACCACACTGTGATAGCCAAATAAAGCAGACTCATATGTGGAACCTACATTTGATACATACAAATACTTACATACATGTATTTAAACATTTAAAAGACAGAAGTAGAAATGGGGGCTATTTGGTGGGAGGGGCAACAAGAGACAGTAATAGGGATAAATATGAGCCAATATGAATATGCCATAACAAAACCCTTGAAAGGTCAGTGTTGCCAAGTATGGTGGAGCATCCTTGGAATTCCAGCTCTGAGGAGGCAAAAGCGGGAGGATTGCCACAAGTTTGAGATCAGCCTGGTCTACAATAGCAAGTAATCAGCCCAGACACCCAGAACAAAAAGAAACAAAACCAGCCTTTTGTAGTATATCTATGTGCTTCCTCCAGTTCTGGCAGATGTTGATTTAATGCAGATCTAAGTTACAGGGTGAAGAGTCCTAAATATTAGAAGAGCCACGGTTTCAGAAATACCATCCCCGCTGCTGAGTCTCAAGGCAGGGAGCTGGCCCATCTAGTACTTTCCTCCACCTGCTGGGTTGAGGCAGCATTAGACCCAGGCCTGACACTGGTTACTAGTCAGCTGCATGGCCCACCTACATCACTGAGGCTCTTGATACACTGGAGCTGCTGAGAGGGAAACAGGAAGGCTAAGTTTCTGACCAGCTCAATGGAACTGGGAAAGGAAGGAAGAACATCTTGTCTGGAGCTTCATAATGAGCCATGGAGCGGACTGGCAAGGGGCAGGGCTGGTGAAAGCCGGTAGCCAAGCAGCTCTGTGGCTCCTCTGGACTTCCCACAGAGGAAGGGAAGAGGGTGTTGAGGAAATTGAGCTAGTGGCCGAGTCAGAGATTTGAAAGAGCCATGGTGACTTAACCCGGCGGTGCCGAGAGAAGTGGTGAGAGGCCCACCTAAGCGCCGTTTGTGGAAGAGCATCAGCAGGGACTAGCGGCAGACTGTCGAGCGGATGGGACAGGAGGACTTCCCAGCAGGTTGTCTGCCAGTCCTCTCTTCTGCTTCTGTGCTCATGATTCTTCATAGCAAAACTGACTCTGCAGAAGTTCGGAGAAACTCCTTAAGATGGAAAGTACTCATACAGGTGTACATGCCCGCAGAGGAACAAGAACACAGTTGTAGGTTATGAAAGTCTGTGTCTTAGAGACAAAATTGAAGATCACGCTGCTCAGGGTGTTAGCATCTATTGTGGTTTGAATCTTGAATTTTTCCCTGCAGGCTCATGTTTTGAATGCTTGGTCCTCAACTTTTGGCAGACTGCGGAGACTAAGCAGTGGGCCTGGCTGGCAGAAATACAGCACTAGTAGTCTTTGAAGGTCAGATTCACCCTGACCCAGCTAACACTCTCTGCTTCCTGGTCAGTCAGGATGTGAACAAGCCTCTCTTGTGCCCCATGTCTTCCCACACTGAGAACTCTGAAACCATGAACCATCATAAGCTTTTCCCATCTTTAGTTCTATCAAGTCAAAATGATGCACAATAGTCGAACCAAAACCTGGTACCAGTGAAGTGGGGTTGGTCAGTGATAAGCCTGACTGGGTGGTTCATGGACCTTTGGAACCCACTTGTGGAGGTCCAAGCCCAGAGAAGCCCCAGTGTGCTGTATGTGCACTTTAGTGGGTTTGGTAAGAGCACAAAGGTCCAGAAAGCCTATAGAAGTGCAGATCGTAGACTACTCATAGGTTTCAGATGGGGACTGGATTCTATTAGGAATTGTGCAAGACATTTGTGTTACATTTTGGAAAAGAATATCTGCGATCTGCTGGTATTTGAGTGAATCAGAATTTTAAAAAAGCAGTGGACAGATTTACTGGGCAGAGGAAATGTCAAGACAGTATAACATTCAGGCTGCGGCATCGTCATTGCTGCCTTTTAGCTGGGTTTCTAGTGAGAACCAAAAGCAAAGAGTGAGACAGAAAGATCTGAGGCATGTGTATTGGGCAAGGGAAGGCATGTGGATACAGCTGAAGCTGCAGACAAATCAGATGTAGACAAAAGGACTGGAGGCTTTAAAAAAAATGTTTTTGTCTCACTGTGAGTCTGTTTTCAATTTTTCCTTTTTAAAACTTTTAATTATTATCATCATTTGTGTGTGTGTGTGTGTGTGTGTAGAAGGAGGAGAAGGAGGTTAGAGGGTTGTCAGATTGCTGGAATTGCAGTGACAGGCAGTTGTGAGCTGCCTGATGTGGGCTCTGGGAATCAAACTTTGAGCCTCTGCAGTAAGAATAGCACATGCTCTTAAGAAACCACTGCATCATCATCTCTTTAGCCCCAAGGCCTGTAGTTTTTATAGAGATTAGAAGCTTGTACTTTGCACTGGGACAATAGGAATGGTATCTTGAGGGCATGATCCCTCTCAAAAATAAGCTCTGGTATCTAACCCTCCAATCTCATTAGAGAAACGTTCATTTCTAAAGAGAGAGCGCAAACCAAGGGGTATCCGGTCAAGGGTCACCGAGGGAAAAATTTCCCTAGTTTCAGCTTCATAGGACATATGGTACATAGAGGACTGGATGCTTAAGCTGGAAGCAGAGCTGGGCATTGACCATGTGGTGCTAGTTTTTCAGGCTCATAAATTCCAAAGTTATTGGATCATGGGGGCTTGTATCAATATTCCAGAGATAAACCTTCAGGCCAGGTAGCAGGTAGCAGGTAGCAGGGTCAGCTTCCCTGCGGGACCTTCCAAACAAGGTATGCATGAAATGTGAAGGCAAAACCTAAGTTATAGTGGAGACTCTGGGATGTTGGAGATGCCAAGGATGTGGGATGATGTCTGTCTAGAAAAGCTGCATCAACAAGTGGAGCTGGCCCAAGAAAGAGGCCATAGTGTCTGAGTCTGAGTTCCTTGGAGCCCAGATGGTGCCACATGAATCCCAGATGTTGGATATGGAACTATAGAATTTAATGTTTGCCTTGCTGGGTTCCAGTCTTGCTTTGAGCAATCTAAATTTTCTTTTTCTTTTTTGTTATTTTCCCATTTCTTCTTTTGGAATAGGAATGCTTACTTAGGGCCATTGTATACCAGAAATATGTCGCCTTCTTTTTCACATAACAGGGTTTCAGATCCCGTGAATCTCAAAAGACACAGATGATGGACATGTCAACAGTGTTGAGCCACTACAGGCTAAGGAGGCTTTTGAAGTTGTAGTAAAGGCACTTTGCATTGTGAGATGGCCACATGCTTTCCAGTTCAGAGTAGGGGGTGTTGGGTTTGAATCGGAAATCTTTCCCACTCCATGCTCATTTCTTGAGTGTTTATTTCTCAGTTGGTGGTGCTGTTTTGACAGCTAAGGAGAATATAAGAGGTAGGGTATGGATGGTGACACGGCACTAGTACTTGGCCTTTGAAGGTTATCCCTACCTTGGGTTCTCTACTACTACTCTTCGTCCTGTGACCAGATGCCAACTCATGCTTCTGCTACTATGGGTGGAATGTGGTGGAATATTCTGTCAGGCTTGTCCCACTACAAGGGACTGAAATGATGAGTCAAAATAAGTATTTCCTGACATTGTCAGTATTTGATCATATAATGTAAAAGTAAAACAGTATGTCGAATCCCACATGGGCCTCCCTCAGCAATTTTGTCTCCTATTGTTTGGGAAACAACCAGGTCTCACTCTAGGCTTGGATGTGCAGGAATGGACTCCTTCCAAGCCTTCCTCACAGGCGTCCTGCACTTTCTGCAAGACCAAAGCATGGGCCAGTCCAGAGATTTCTCCATAATTCAGCTGTGTCTTTCACAGCTGAGCCTGGGGAGAGGAGAGGCTTTCCCCAGTCGAACAGTTCTCTAGAGGCATAGGCAGGCGAGAAGGGGTGTTTAAGGTCTATTCCTTTCTCACCTTTTATGCCAAAATGCTGAAGAATAGTCAGGGATCTGGGAATATGGTTCAGTGGTGGAACACTTGACCAGCATGTGTGAGACCTGGGGTCATCTTCAGCACTGAAAAACAATAACAAAAAACTGTTTACATCATTGTGTTTTTTAAAAAAATGTTTTAGAGAAAGGCTATGTAGCTCAGAATGACCTCAAACTTGCTAAGTAGCCTGAGGATGGCCTTGAACTTCTGATCCTCCTGCCTCTCTTCCCTAGTGCCAGGACTACAGCACTGCACAATTACCTGCAGTTTTGTGTGGTACAAAGCTTCATCTTCATGCATGCAAGACAAGCCCTCTGCCAGTGAAGCTCTGCTCGTATCCCTGGCTTTGATGTCATTTGTTTGTTTTGTTTCTTCTAATGCTTGGGATAAAACCTGGGCTTTTGCTTCCTTGCTATTTCTCTCTCTCTCTCTCTTTCTCTCTCTCTCTACCTGTCTGTCTGTCTCTCTGTCCCTCTCTCTCTTCCTCCCCTCACTTCTCGTGTGTGTGTGTGTGTGTGTGTGTGTGTGTGTGTGTAGGTTCAGGTACATGGAAGTTCCATCACTCGGGCCCCTGGGTGCCCTTCTTCTCCGCTTTATGTTCAGCACCTGCCCCATCGCATCTGTTGCCACTACTTTAGGGGGTCTAAGCTTCTCTCCTCTGAAATCATGTCTGCCTGTCCTGTCACTGCTGAAGAGGAAGAGCCTGGTTTGATGCCCATCAACTTCAAAGGTTTGTTCTGCTCCTGGGTTCCCAGCCTCCTGCCTCTTCCTCCTACTTAACAATGATTGGATTGTGGCACCTCCCATGGAGTTGGACTTGGGCTGGAGGTAAAGGGTTTCAAAGTCTATTTTGTTCTTGGGATGCTGCAGACAGAGCTGTTGTGTGGTAGTCTCTTCGGATCCAGCCTCAGGTCAACAAATGTCCTTCCCAGGAGCTTCTGTACTCCCTGGGAGAAGAGCAAGAGAGGAGTAGAGCCTAGCAAACCTGAAGAGAACCCACTAGGGTTTCCTGGTTCATTTGGGAAGCAGCAGGAGCTTTGGGTAGGTTGCTCTAGCTTGAGTGCTGGTATCCAGTGCTCACTGAGGCTGGCCACTACTCAAAACGTATCCATTGGTTCCCTTTCCAAAAGCCTATTATTAAGGTTTATTCCCTTCTCACCTTTTATGCCAAAATGCTGGAAACTGGTCATGGATCTGGGAATATGGTTCAATGCTGGGACACTCATCCAGCATGTGTGAGGCCTGGGGTCATCTTCAGCACTGAAAAATCATAACAAAACCCATTTACATCATTGTATTTTTTAAAAAATTGTTGTAGAGAAAGGTTGTGTAGCCCAGAATGGTCTCAAACTTGTAGCCTGAGGATGTAGCCAGTCCCAGCTGAAGCACCTGCTCCAGTAATACACAAGGTACAGCCTGATGGAGAGCTTCATCCCCGGCATCCCTGTTCCTGGCTTTGACCATCATATCTTTGTCTTCCCTGTAGGTAATCATCAACAGAGACTTGCAGGGAAGCTCTCTGTGCATTGCACACATCTTTGAGGTGTTAACCAAGTGGCCTGGAGCTCTACACCCTATCTGTGAGCTGATGACAGAACGGGAGAATCAGAGAAGACTTAGAACCCCTGCAGGGACAACCCCTGGAAGTGGCCAGAATACTGAGCAGACTAGCCCCGACTTCCCACCAGCAAACTATCTGATCCTGCAATGCCAGACCCCCAGTAAAGTCAAGGTACCTTCCATTTTTTTCAGAGGAACTGTCTGAGCTGAAAGAACTGAGGAGAAGGACATATCTGAGAGCCCCAGTGGACTCAGCCAAGAACATTACCAGACATTGGCAATCAACACCCGAGGGCCCCTATGCTGCCTCCCTAACCTGTACCTGGTGCTGCTGGTTACACTGGGCAATTGAAGACAAATGGCATACAGGCCATCAACCTGTGACGCTGTACATGATTGTGTGTGTACTATCTAGTCAAGCCTGTGTCCATGGCCCTAAGATAGCCATGCTTATCAAGGCTGGAGTTTAGGTGTGGCGGCAACAGTTACTGAAAGGTAGCTTGCCTCTGCCTGCAGTGGTTTCCTCTGTGATCATGACTGGGATATTGGCTCCAAATCAATGCAGGGAGGGCAGAAGGTGACCATGCCAAGGCTGGATAGGGACATTAAGATAAGTGATGGGACATTAATATATCAGCAGCCACATGTGTGGCAAAGGGCTTGCAAGTTAAATACCATGGTGGTCCAATGATTTCTAAGTCCTGCCCAGTTCTTGACTGTATGTCCTGATTCAATAATTCATAGCTGAGGAACCTATTATCAGTGACTTTCTGGGAGTCAGTCCCAGGCCAACTCATGCTGTGCTCCCTGATGTGGGTCAGGAACGAAGTGAACCTCCATGGGTGCCCTGGCATTTGGAGGGCATTTAGGTTCAGCAGTTCTGGCTACAGTGCCAGGATTTCTAGCTGCCTGAGCTTGGCAAACTCCTTCTCCCACCAAGAACCACATGCCTTCAACCCTTTTCTCTGCACGGTACCTGACTTCCAAGATCTGTTTTTTTTTTTTCTTCCAACAGGAGAGGGTGTCTGTAGAATGCTTGGTGCAAACTGCACCACAGTGGTCTGATCTCCTCCCCTCCCTCTCCTCCCCCTGGAGGACTTGGGTCTGACTCTCTCTTGCTCCTCATGGCTCTCTGGTATCTTCTTCCCCAGTAGGAGCTCTAGTTCAAGCAATCTGGAGCAGAAGTGGAGGATCCAACCTGGGAGTGTCTGTGTGTGCCCAGCTCTCACAGAGGGGTTCTGGGAATGCAGAAAGGAGCAGGGCAGCATAGAGGTGATGTTGCAGAGTGGAGGTGAGGAGCAAGGGCTCTCCAGTCAGACCACACTATAACTCAGTGTGCGGCCTTAGAGGAAGTCACTTAATTGCACTATAACTCAGCTTCCCTCTCTGTAAAATAGGTATAAAATTCATCAACCTCGTGAATGAACGGTGCATTCCAGTACTCAGCACATCCACCAGTTCCACTAAATACGTATTGGCACTAACTCCAACTCCAGCTCCAACGGAGGAGCTGGGATAGGGAGCTGTGCAGTAGGGTGCAGTGGTCCCCTCAACAATTGGCCATCTCTCCCACAGATGGGAAATATCAGAGGGTGGAAGTCTTGGAATAAGTATTCCTTGAGGGATGGGGAATATTTATGTTATTTCTGTATTTTCAGGCACTGGAGGTGGTTCCCAGAACTTGGCACAGGCTGGACAAGTGTTCCTTGTGTAAGCTATAAGCAACAGTCCCAGTAGTTCTTAGATGAGCAGATGGGAGGAGAAAAGCGAGCCTCCCCAATCCCTGTAATCCATGTTCTTGACCACCCCAACTCTTACCCCACCCTCTGCATCAGAAAACAACTTAATGAATTCCAGCTGAGCCTCATTCTCAGCCATACTGTAGCATCTATACCTGGAGATCTGCTCTCAGTGGGCAGACAGGAAACTACCACCACCGTGCCTGCATTAAACTCAACGCCAGTGAAATGGGCCTGCCTGCGAAGAGAGGAGTCTGTTTGGAGTCCTCAAACAGCCTCAGCCTTCTTCTCCCTACCCTTCCTATCCTGGCTGGGTGGGAGTTCAGGAAGCATCGTGGCCTGCCAGGCTACCTCATACAGGCTTGGACGCAGCCCCTTGGCTGCGGGAAAAGGACAGACACAACCCTTTCATATCAGCATGAGAGGTAGGTTGATAGTGATGTTGGATGCTAGTGTTGGCCACAAGCTTCCCCCTCCATCACGTGATCCCAGTGGCCTCACAGAGCTTTGCTTACTTAGAAGCCTACTCTCCAAAGAGTCACCATGGAAAGAACCAGCTTTATCTGTCTCTCTGCTGGTGTAGTGCTACCTGGGCCAGTGGGACGGGGAGCTGTTGCTGCTGTTCCACCTGTTTCTCTCCACACACCTGCCTCCAGCCTTCCTGGCTCATCAGCTGCCCCTAACCTCCTGCATTTGGCATTAGCACTTCCGGCCCCATGAACCTTTCTGTTTCCCATTGACCACCTACAGCTAATTTTCCAAGAGACCACTAGTGGTTACTGCTGGGGAATGCAGACCACCAGACCCTGAATTTCCTGTGAACAACTTGTTTTCCTCTACTCTGAGCAGCCTGCAGCTGCTCAGAGCATAAGACCCTGATGGCAGGGGAGTGGTTTCTGGTGGATCTGCAGCTGAAAGATCCCGAGAGCTGGGGCGTGGCCAGAGCCCTATATAAGCTGCCCCTGAACACAATAAAGAGGGCATTTTTATTTCAAGGATGGCCCGTGTCTCTTTGTGTTTAAATCTCCAGGCCCTTGCCCGGCTGCGATTGCGAACCATCTTGTAGTGCAGGCACCACACTACAGGCATAGTACCATAGTACACATACTAGCACGGATGTTACAGTTACCTCTTCTCGTGCCACAGTTTGGTCATGCCTACTTTTGAACACATGCCATGAGAGCTCTCGTTACATAGACCTGACTAGGGCATCTCCGTGGTCTCGACAGCGTCACTGATGGGGGTCTCACTTTCTTGCCTGTGCTGATCTCAAACTTCTGGGTGCCTATGAACCTGCTTCAGCTTTTCAAGAAGCTAGGTCCCCAGACAAACCTGGTAGTCCTTTTTAAAAATGAAGAAAGTGAGGCCTGGAGAGCTCAGCCAGGTTGCTTTGAATGTTTACTTGCTTTGCGCATATTTAACATCCCTGGTGTGTCAGGCACTGAGAGTGTGCCAGTGAGTAAGATGTAGCTTCCGTTAGACCGAGGAAGGAGAAGGAGGTGACCTGTTGGTTGTGCGGAGTGGGATAGAGAGGGAAGACATCAAGGTTGCTCTGGGAGAGGCTGAGGCCCAGAATTGGTGTCATTTAATGAAGGTCAGCCAGAACCATGTTGGAGGGTTGAGGAGACATCTCCTCATGTGGAGAACTGTGGGTCCTAGAGGCAAGATGTGGATGGAGATGTCCCCAAAGTCAAGAGGAGGCCCCAAGTGAAAGACGACATAGTTCCCAAATAAGCTTTGCAATTTGGTTTTTGTTTACTTGCTAAGCATGGGAAATGGCTTTCTTACAGGGCTGGAATTTTTTTCATCCCCCCCCACCATGGATGTCTGCTGTCACATTGCATTTTTGCTATGTAAACCTATGTCATATCACCAATTTTCAGTAAAGTCTACTACAAACTCAAAGGCCTTTGTGCATATTTCTTTGTACAAGAATGACAGAACTGTGCACTTGTCAATAGATCACAGACGCCAGCAGCTGGCAGGTATTAGAGCAGGTACATAAAGTAACAAGTGCACACCAGGGGTGCACACACTGGACCGCGAACATGAATAAGGCTCGCTGAACCATGGGAACGGCGACAGGCCAGCACCAAAAGTCCTATGCTGACATGTTAGTGTTACTGATTCGGGTACAGGATGTGGCCCACATTCCTCCAACACTACAGAGTCAATACCAGTTCAAGCTGCCTCTCTGATTGGAAAGCACCAGGGGCAAAGTTCCAGCCAGCATCACTGCGCTATGCAAGAACAAGTGCATTAGAACTACCCAGGCTCTGCAAATCTTTGATCATCTCGCCATTGAGCCTCCAGCAGGGGGCTCTTTGTTCGGAGTCTGTGAATATTGTGCTTTTAGAAACACAGCCTGTGCTCTTAATGGACAGAAATGGATTCAGGAATCATTGTATCTGAAGAGAGGTCTGAGGAAAGGGTAATGGGTTCAGACAGGGCCTGCAGGCAGGGTGTGAACACTTGCTTCGTGTCTCAGGAGCTTGAATTTAGTCCTTGGTACAAGAATAAAATGGCTTCCTGATCAGCAAACTGCCCAGGACCAGCTCATGACTGAGAAGCCCGTGTGCCTCTTCACTAGGTCACGTCCGGCAGCAACAGTCCCCGGAGGGACATTAGGATACTGTCTGCTCTCCACTACGTTCCGTCCTGTGTAGGGGCCGTTCCTCCATGGGAAAGCACTGGTGCCTGTGGCTGGCACGTATGTTAGTAGGAGGAGTTGGATGAGATCAAAAGGGTGAACTTCATGTCTGTGCCTGAGATGGGACTCCAGTTCTCCCAATCCAATTTCTACACATTTATTAGCAGTAATTTCCTTTTAAAAATAATTTATTACCTGACAATTTCATACATGTATACAATGTATCTTGGTCATAGACAACTCAAATTCCCTTCCCAGTTTCCTAAGAACTGTCCAGTACTTCCCTTCTACCTTCCCACCTTCATTTCTCCTCTATTTTCCTCCTGAAGTCCCATTGTACCATGCTGGAGTCAGGTACTCATTCATTTTCCAAGACTACCAAGCCCCGAATTCACATCAACTACTGTTCTGTGCTAAACTGAACTAGTTTGGGGTTCAGAGAGGGCTGATGCAGAAACCCCACCCGTACCTGCTGGACCCTTTGCTTCCCTGATCAGGAAGGCAGGAGGCCTTGCCTGGATGGCAGGACCTACCTTTCAGTGGATACCGTCCTCCCTGGACCAGACTCGGGAAGGACACGCAGATTCTTACTGGAGTTGGGAGCCGGGTCATTACTGAGAGGTGAGTTGGGGCTGAGAAGAGAAACTTTGGCAGCCCTGTGCTGAGACACGGTGTGTTTACAGACAGAGGAGAAGGAGGAGCAGGAGTGTGATTTTCTCTCAGTAGTAAGGGAAAGGTTTGGGGGTCAGGGGAGACCAGCTGCTACTCACAGGGAGATGATGGAGAAGTGACCACTTCTGACAGTCCCCTGCCTCCTTTTCAAATGACAGGACTTCATTGTTGTGGAATAGTATTTTAACTGGGCAAAGGTGTGTTACATTTGTTTGTGCTACATTTATTTAACTATGTAAAGATGTGCTGTTTTTTTTTTTTTTTTTTTGCCTTGCCTGCCTAAGGCACCTGATTGGTCTAATAAAGAGCTGAACCACCAATAGCTAGGAAGAGAAAGGACAGGCGGGGCTTACAGGCAGAGAGAATAAGTATGAGGAGAAATCTAGGCTCAAGAGGAATGAAGGAAGGAGGAAGGAGGAAGAGAGGGACAGGCCAGGGGCAAGAAGCCAGGCAGCCGCCAGCGGACGTGAGAAGCTGTGAAAACTATACAGAAGGAAAGAAAAGTAAAAAGCCCCAAGGCGAAGGGTAGATAAAAAGAAACAAGTTAAAGAGCTTCCCAGAAACAAGCCTGAGCTAGGCCAAGCATTTACAGCTAATAAGGAGTCTCCGTGTCATGATTTGGGAGCTGATTGGTGGCTTAAAAGTGTGGTACACTAGACTCCCCTGTTTCCATGGAGACACGTGATCACTCAGAAGAAAACCACATTCCCCAGCCTTCATTGTAGCTGAATGTGGCTGCTGTAAGCAGCGGCAGAGTTTCCCGGGTGACTTGGAAGGCAGAGGGCATGGTCTTTATTCGTCCTAAGGAGCTGACTGGGGTGTGATATAATGACTGGCTTTAATATTTTTCTGTTTGTTTGTGTTCGTACACATGCACACTCACCCCACGGCATGTGTGGGAGCCAGAGGACACTGTGGGAGTGGGTGGGAATTCGGGGATCAGACTCAAGCCATCAGGCTCAGTGCCCTTGCTCTCTGATCTCTGCAGTCCACGGCTGGATTTTGTGTTGCTATTTTGGACTAAAGCAATGTTAGGAATGGAGGCTCCCCATGGTTAAAGCAAAAAGATCAAAAGATCTTGGATCCTCGATACCATGGAATCTTACCACAGCTCTGGATAGATTTTATATGAGAGAGAAATGAGTTATTATAATCATTTGAATTTTAGGTTACTTTTTAAAATTAGAACCCAAGCAATTCTAACCTGGTAACAATGTGAAGGGCACAGCAGCTAAGGCGCAAGGAGCTGTAATCGACAGTTAACACTGTGCTTGTTGAAGCAGGGTCTTGGGGAGCTCAGGCGAGGCTGGCTCTCACCATCCTCCCCAGTGCTGGTATCGGCACGTGCTAGCATGTTGGCTCTTCTGACTTGGAGGCACTTCTGTGTATGCTTCCTCTCTTGATGTCCACAGCTGCATTAAAATGCTGCAGACATTCCTTCCATGAGTGAAGAAATGGAGGCTCAGAAAAGTCAGTAACTAACACACCCTGTGAGCTGAAGCTCTCTGCCTTGCACCGATTCCACTGTGGGCTCTCATGCGTGCAGGTGGGGCAGGTCATGAAGGTTCAGCCTTGTTTGCCTGCTGCTGGGTGTGGGAGTGGAGAGCTCGCCCCGGAGAACCCAGATGCCTGGAACTAGACGGAAACAGTTTGGAGGCAAGGGGTAAATCAGTGGCAGAAGACGAACTAACATGTGAGACCCTGGGTTCTAACCCCAAGACTTGGAGCAGTAACGAAGATTTTTTTTTTTTTTTTTTGTACAGCAATCACGTTGTGGGTAAAGTAATTCTGCTGTTGTAAGGATGGTGTGGGCACAGGAGGCTCTGGAGAGTAAGGAAGCGGATGATGATTGGGGGAGCTGTGTTTGCCAGCTGGCGGGCTCACGAGCCCGTTTTAGAAGTAATCAGGAGTCACCAGATGCTTAACCCAAGTCTGCTGAGTGTCTTGTGACCGTGTTAATGTTTTCTTGGTATCGGAGGGTTCTGATTCTCTTCACAGCCCTCCCTCCTCAGAGGACAAGATGGGGCCTTAGTAATCTGGTCCGATCCTCTTTCCTCTTCGGTGACGACTTTACTGTTTCCTTCCCAATGCCTTTCTTGAGATCCAGCCCGAAAAATGTATGCTGGGGCTGCTGCTGTATGCCAACTCTCAGGTGAAGGTGCACAGAGACCGAGTCCTGGCTTCAAGCTGCTCACCCAGGTTCTCACTGCCCTAATGGCCAGCAGTGGGGAGATTTCATTAGGTCCGAATGTGGAAGCCAGACCTTGCAGCCAGTCATGTGCCTCCTACTCCCTCATGCTAGCTCCCCAGGTTGTGTTCTAAGAAACAAAGAGCTCCAGAAGATCCCATTCTATCCAGCTCTCCATGGCCCCTCTGACCTTGACTGCCCACCCCAGCTTGGCTCAGAGGAACATTAAAGCAAGCTTCGGATGCCTGTTCAAAGGAGGCCTGGGCCCCTCCTCGCTGTGATCTGCCCACTTGCTCTTTCTCTCCATCTCTCTGGTCTGGGATTCCTGGCTGTGCTCCCTGGCTTTGATATCTGCTGCTGAGCTTTCTGGTTTGGCAACTCACCACGTTCCCCTTGTGGTTTTGGGGGCCTCTGGATTTTGTTGGTCAGCCTGCTGCTGTGTCTGCTCCTCTGATTTTGTGTCCTTCCTTGGTCTTGCAGAGGGAACA